GGAACTGATATTTATGGAGTTTCTGTTTTTTAAGTTAAAACACATGCTTGGGAGTTTCGATATGGAGCGATACACGCCTGCGAAAAGGATAAAAATCGCAATTTGGAAAATGGAAAAGGCATTATTTCTACTCAGATTAACTTTAGACGATATTTTAATGTCAGATATGCTGCTTCTAATCAGACGATATTCCAACTTGTATCCAAATTTTAAGAAACAAGATCAGTAGAAGATACAAGAAAGGCAGGAAGACGGCGAAGATGGAAGATAAAAAGATGTGCTAAAAAGAATTTATAATTTGTCATCGCAAAAAGAGACATCATTTTTCGCATTTAAAAGCTTCAAGAAACATACTTTGTATTTATAAGTTTTAAAATACAAATTTACTTAACTTTTCATATACTTTTTTTAATTTAAAGTCGTGAAGGTACTTTTGGGCCATTCTGTATTTTAAGTAGATGTTTAAATTATACATAAGTTTTTCTAAGATATAAATATTATTGTAAATGTGATTTTGAAACTAAATCTAATCACCCTTATTTAATAATGGAAAGAAAAACATTCATCCACCATTCATATATTAAAATGCTGACTATATAAGCTATAAATATATTAAAATGCTGACTATATAAGTTATGTCAGTTTAAAATTTTATTGAGTGCTATAAGTTGCATTAATTTTCTATGCTTAAGTTTCCATTTTATATTTTCAGCAAATATTTATTAGTTAATAAAATATATGAAAGTAAAAATTATCCTTCCTTCCATCTTGCCCTAACAAATCATTACGAGAGTATCCTTTTACAATTATTAAAGCCTGAAAAACGCATGTCTGTGATGTTATCGTCATGCGATTATTTGTAGGTACTTTTATTTTTTACCACGATATTTTAGACGACCATGTTGTTAAACCACTTTATTTTCGACGGCGATATTTTGTACCACGATGTTTTAGAACTGTAATGATTTCTCTTTGCTTTATTTTCTCCCACGACGTTTTCGCCTTGCGTTGTTTTCTCCGCGACGTTTTTGTCCGCGATGTTTAGAGAAGCTAATAGCACAGCTTGTGGAATTCATAACATCAGTGACAACAGAAATAACTTGCTTCAAACATTCCAACAATGCCATATGTATTGTACCAGACAGTGTCTTTCTAAAGTATCATATGATAAATACAGGTAGAGGTAAAAGTATGGGGGGACACCAGGACACCAGGGACCATAGGTCAACTGGTAACGCCTTCCAATATTATCTTTTAAGAAAAGGGGGAACTGCAAGTTTATATAAATTTACATAGACTGAAGCTTTCCAGATGGTCTGGAGTTTGCCTGTTATGGTACATCGTGCAACCTCACAGTACGCCCCGCATCCCGTATTTATTGAAAATAATGATGTAGGACATAAGTAGATTACAAAATAGTCTGAATACGATTTGAAATTCACCAATTAAATTAGACATCTACTTTGGCGCAACAAAAATAGGTGATAAACATAATGAAATAATTAGTACTGACAACACAATGTTATAATGACTATGTAAAAATAATGCTAGAGAGGTAAGTAAGTGTCCATGGGTTATTTCAGATATAAAGGTTTATTACAGTTTATAAAGTTCACGAGTGGTGTCATTTTGTCCATACTCACAACATGTAAAAGTTCACTAAATTTATGCAGTATGCGGGCTTACACTTGACAGAGATCTAGGCCGTAGGAAGAGAGTCGTTGCACGATTTTTTGAAACTTCTGAAGTTTATCTTTAATTAGAAACCTTTGGAATGCCAGGAGATTAGTTCGTGGGGATTTTATGTGAATATCCTCAGTTAAGGGGTATGAGAAAGTGTAATGATCAGGAGTTCCCTGTTCCCCACATATGCATCAAGTCATAGAAGTCTCAGAAACGTTCGAAATAAAAATTTTAAGAAATTCGATGTGGACACCACATGACTTCCTTGTACGGCCTATTAAATTATACATATTTTTTGCTGCATTTCATTTAAACTTATTTTCTCGATTTTAATTGCAAATTAATTTCTCAAGCTGAGCTCATAGCTTTACAAATGAACTAGAAAAAAAATTATGGTGGGAGTTAAACAAGGTGGGCGTAAATGTACCTTCACGATTTTAAATTTCAGTAACTATTTTCTGGAACTGATATTTATGGAGTTTCTGTTTTTTAAGCTAAAACACATGCTTGGGAGTTTCGATAATTAATTCAGTTCTCACTTCGCAACAAGGGAAAAATACGTAACAATTCAAACTATCTTAAATAAAAATTGAAAAATATGGGAAAACATAAAACACCAAATACAGTTAAAACAGTTAAAAAAGTACAATTTTTAGAATTAAAATTATTCTGCGCAAAGCAACAAGCAATTCAGTAAGCAGGCAAGAAGGCAGATTTTTCGGTGTACAATACTGAAAGTTTCGTTTTGGTCCCACTGGGCAAAAAGACACTGAAGGAGCAGAAACTTACTTAATTCACAGTTCTACTAAGTTTCAAATGTAAACAAATATGGCTGCTCCATTAGGCTAGGCCGCACGTAAACAACTTTTAATTTGTTGATAATTTTGCAACTATTGCATGTAGGTTACCTAAAGCGTAAAAATCGTAACCGGAACACACAACAACATAATTCAATCATTTTTAAAGCAAAAAATGCGCAATTTACCAACATATAAGAATAGAAAAAACTCAGTTCATGGAGCCGAGTAACAGAGCAGGTTGATATATATATATATAAATATAAAAAGAATAATTAATCTCCTTTCACTGAAGATTTTTTTTTAAATATTTTTATCTTGTATTTTTCCCCTTTTTCTATTTCCATTTTTAGAGTTTGTACTACTATGAATTCTTATTTTAATTTTGATGTGTTTGGATTTTGTGTTAAACCTCTTATACACGATTGATATATTAATCGTGTCTATTTTATTTCAATTCTGCAGCTATAGCGCCAAACGGGTGTAAAAATTTGCTTTTAATTTTTAATTTTGCCTCTTATTTTGTTTCTTTTTGTATTATTTCTTACTTATTGTTCATTAAACGGGAGCTGGTTTGTTCCTCTTGACAAGTCAACTAATTTCCGATCAATGACAATGATTACTTGCATTTGATTACTTGCTTTTAATTTATTTCTTTTAACAATTAAAATTTTGTTATTCATGATTTAATTCAAGTTCCCGTTAAACATTTTTAACAATTCACATTCAAGTTACTTCAAAACATCTTTCGAAAAAGAACTTACTAAGTATGGATTCACTCTTTTAAGATAATTCTACTAAAATTAACCTCAGGAGATAATATAATCAATATTATTCAGTAAATAAATTGTATAAATTCAGTAAATATATATATATTCATGATTTAATTTCAGTCCCCGTTTAACATTTTTAACAATTTACATTCAGGTTACTTAAAAATCTTCACAATAAAACTTAATAAGTATGGATTCATTCTTTTCATATAATTCTACTCTAATTAATCTTAGGCGATAATATAATCAATATTATTTAGTAAATAAATTATAATAAGATAGGTAGTAAGTACAATACGAAAAGACCAATTTGGTCTAAAAATGTTTGCGCAATATGCTGCAAAATTAAGGAAATGAGAAGAGAAATTGTAGTTAGCTCGCCAAAAGGTTACCAGGAGCTGTGGCTCCAAGAAAAAGTTCAACACAGTTGTTTTAAAAAACAATGACATTGAAGGGTGAAAAATTAGGCTACAAGCGAAATAAAATGTAAAATATAAAACACAGTAAAATACTAATCGTTGGAAACAAGTTAATGGCAAAAATCTATCGATGTGATAAGTGAAAAGTTAAAACATATAAAATAATCAATGGAACAAGTTAAAACAAATAAAACTAATAAAAACATATAAAATTATAAAAATTATAAAGCGGAAAATCGCTGCCTATTTCAACCAAAATGGGAGATGCACAACTACATGTTACAGCAGTCCTATATACAAAATTTCAACGTTCGGAAGCTACTCGTTTTTAACGAAAAAATTTCTTCTGAATACATTTTACAATCCCTTTTGGGAAAGATTCCTTTATTCTGTCCTTATGTAAAGATGTCACTCAAAAACAACGTTAAATTTCATTCGATGGCAGTGAAAATGGATAATTTCGTTGAAATATGATAGATGAAATTTTTAGCGATTACAATGCTTCCTTTACTTTCGTACAAGCAAGCAAAAAGGAAGGAAGAAATGTGATCAGAATTATTCTCAAGTAAACTTTCTTCTCAGGTACCTGGTATTCACAAATTGGAGACTGACCGTGCTCTGTGTGACCAGATTCCAGCCGATAATCAAATCTCGGAAATTTGAAAGCCTTAAAGAAATTTTCTCCACTTCTAATCTGTGCCACCTAAAAGAGCATCTCAATCGTTATTCTTCTGCGCTATGTACTCGGAAAACGAATAAATTCAATAACAACGTTGAGACCTCAGAATAAATTTCAAACTCATTATGGCTGCTAAAACACGCTGCAGAAGATAATCTCCGATGTGGAAAAGTATTCAAGTAAGGAACATAAAACTGATAAATACAGAAAATGTGTTATGTCAGAAGTCTTCGAAGGGACTTCTGATGGAATATGCTTTATGTATTAGATTTTTCTCAGTAACCATATTTAACCTTATATTGTGATATTATTATCAGATATTACATTAGGTATATCATATCGAAATATTAATTTTGGAAATGTCCTTTCTTTTGGACTGCGTTCTTATTTCGCACTCGTACAGTGGCCTGAATAATCATGAATGTATTATGGTCATAAAAAATGGATCAAAGTTCTCCCTCCTCCTCAATTTTAAGAACAGATTTGCATTAATTAATAAAGCAAAGTTTTATTCTAATAAACTTTAAGACCACACGTTATTATTTTTAAATTAGAAACCGATAATTTCTAATAAATATGTATCATTTATTCATTTTATATAAAATAGTATTATTCAATATAAAAAATAGTAGGCAAATATTTATATTACCATTTTAGCTTCCCACCAGATGTCTTCTGGAAGACTTCACTTGCACAGCAGAAGAGGAATGAAATGAAATGAAGGTTTAACAAGATGTATTCATGTCAAAATAAGCTCACTTTTGAATAATTAACGCCTTGCATATCTTGGATACTCACAAAGAAAGCATTAGTTAGGAATATGTTTAAAATTTATCACTTGTAAACACACTTGAAAATCTACAGGAGATTATTTTCTGTTTTCATTAAACTTCCTATTTTCGTTTGTTCTTTCCCATGGAGTTTGAAAAACAGCGACGAATGCAGTTTGTTCTATGCCGACGAGTTTTATTCATGAATGATATTTTTTGGCCTATCATTTTGTGTTTCGAAATACAGCTAATAGGCAGAATATTTTTAAAAAAGTGCTTACGCATTCAGAATGACTTTGCTCATTTTACTGTTTCAGGTATCTTGTTTTTCGCGTTCAGAATGGCATAATTCTCTTGAAATGATAGGTCATCGGATCACAATAAAAGCTATAATCTTGTTGTTTCCGTGAGTCATACCAAATGAAAATGCATGAGTTCTCGGTAAAGAAAACCATTATATATCTATAAAAAGTAAACAGATGTAGTAACATAATTGACTAGTTTGTACCCTCATCTTGTTAAGCTTAGGCATTCACAGCAATCATTGTTTCGCGAAGTTGCTCTGTATAGTACAGTGGTTAGCAAAGGCTGACTGCTAGTTCGAATTCCAGGCCTGTGGGTTCGAATTTTGTGTGAGGCTTGGTCCTTTCCCTCTTTTCGCTTATGTAATATCGGTTTATTCCCTGTGGACCATGCTAGGAATGTTGTCGGTGATGAAAGAGCTAAAAAAAACCGATGGATTCGGTCATACCTGAAGAATTGCTTTCAAACTCCTTACAAATTTGCTCAGAGCAAATGTCCATTCTTTGGATTAATAATAATAATAGCAATATTCGGGGAGAAAGTGACAAAATTTATCAGTTAGTCACAGGATAAAAAGCGAAATTTTCGTGAAATGGACTTTATAATAATAATAATTTCGAAGTCGTTAGGAATTCGCTGTATCATCACTGGAAGAATGATCTTAATAACATTAGATAACAGAGTTACATTCTTTGGATTAATAATAATCGTTAGGAATTCGCTGTATCATCACTGGAAGAATGATCTTAATAACATTAGATAACAGAGTTACATAGCAATAACAGAAACAGCTAGTATGTAACTAAGGGTGTATTGTTATACAGTTTTCACCTCCCAGAGGATATAGTACTTAGGAGAAACTACTGCGATAACGAAGGGCTCGGGTTCGAATCCCCGAGAAGGCATGGATGTTTGCAAATGTGTTTCTGTGCGGCATGAGGGCACTCTAGATATGTGGCTAGCTGAAAGTCCTCTCGAGAGGTTGCTGGCAGGGGAAGAGGGGTGGAAGACCCTCAGACCCGTCCCCCCCCCGGGTTTCTCTATTTCAAAATTGGGGTTAAAACTGAGCGAAGTCGTACTATCAGCCGTATGGTGCTTAAGGTTTTGCCAACGAGAGGCGCAGTCTTGCTCTCCTTACCATAATGAATTTTGTGGTCTTGTTCTGATGTTACCGTCAGGCAAACGAGATAAATCACTACAAAAATAACACGCAGTTTTTAATCAATCAGATTCTGGTTAATATAATAAACAGAATGTTATCTGAGATCAATTTTACGTTAAAATGAGCGCAACTGCATATACATATATACATATCCGCAACTGCATATACATTTACTTACGTAAATATTCTTCTTTAAATAGCTTGTTTTGTGCACATTGGGATACTGGTCAGTATTACACCAAAAGAAGTGTAGTAATAAATACTTTTAATAACATGTAGCGCACTAATATTATTTCATTGTGAATGCATATGGTAATGCAGATAGGAAATATAATAATGCACCCTTGTAGGTATGTAAAAATGATAATGCGTATTTATATAGTGTAAGAGTGATTATGTTCCTTTTAATATTCATAAGACAACGGAATAAAAAGTGTAGCTGTAGTGCTATTAATAGTATGCAGCATATTGGTATTATATCAACAGGAGTGTAACAACTGTAGTACCCAAAAGATACTTAACGTTAATACGTACATATGTACCTAATATGAAATGTACATAGATACTATTAGAGTATGTACATAGATACATTGCAATATTGTTACTAGTAAATACTACAATTGTAACTTAGCACTCAATATAAAATTATGAGAAAAGTAATTGTAAAAATGTTGAGAAAAGTAATTGTAAGGATGAATATGAGAAAAGTAATTGTAAATGTTATGCTCAACTGAACTTTCCCAACTTGGCCTTGTTCATAGTTAGTGATTTGCTGACTATCTTCACTAGCTGGTGCATAAAGGCCATGAATTCTGACTGCAAAGCAGACCACCCAGCTAGTGGCTTAGTAGTAACAGTTATAGAGGTAAGTTTTAAATAGTAGAAAAAAAAAAAAAAGAATTACTTTGAATCACAGTTGTTTTCGGCATTGAAAGGCAGCGGACAGCAATTTTATGTAATTTTCACTTAAAATTGCTTTTCCAATATACTTACAACGAATTATTCCTGCGAGTGAGGGGTCATAATTTAAACTACAAATTTCTAGTCTGCAATTCAGAGGAAGATTATTTTGCAGAATATTCCTTGCAAAATAGGCAATAAAAAATAAAATTGAATTTATTTAAATTCAGAAAATAAATTCTCGATTATACTCGATGTTAGGAAAAAAAACTTTTTTACTTATGAAATCTTAGAAAATCACGTAAAATTCACAAAACTGCTGACAAAAACTTGCGCTGTGTCTGGGTTCTTTCCCTAATTATAATTAAAAATTTTAAAAAGTATAAGTAATTATATTCGTTCATTTCTATTCCTTTATCATATATATGATCGAAAACTGTCAATGGATTATTCAACTACAATTTATAAAATTATATCAGATGTATTTTTATCAATCTGCTATATGAAGATAAATAGCGATTTTCATGGAATTTCAGAATTTCCATAAATAATAGTGTCATAAAGAACTTAATACGATTTTTCGTATTTTCATATTACCAACTTATTATTCATAAAACATGATTTATAAGTTTCCGTACTTTTGAAAAAAAAAAAAAGAAAGAAAGAAAGAAACTTAAAAAGGAACGATTTCCGAGTTGCAAATTCTAAACATCTGATATCTTTAAAAGCAACAACTGGTAAAATGAAGTTTCGAAACAATCTGTTTCGTAACATAAACATCCAGATTCTTGAACAATTTATACAGGGTGTATTAGTACAGCGGTGACAAACGTTCAGGAGAGATAGAGTATACCTAGACAGTGGGAAATCACATAGCAATACATGGTGTCGGAAACGCTTTTCTAGCGCGGTAGTGACGACACAAAAGTCCAGAAAGGACACGAACGTGGTGAGAAAACATGTTTATTATTCGGGGTACAAAAAACAAAGAAAACGCAGCATAAAGAGACAACGATCATCATCAAAGGTGTTCGAAATTAAGACCCGGCCCGTGATGCCTCACCGTGCGTCGTTCATCTTCCATGCGATCTTCCATTCGTGATGCAGATCTTCCATGCGTCAGGGAGGTGAGGCCTGCATCACCGTCCAGGGTCGTAATTTCGAACACTTTCTTTAAGGATGATCGTTGTTTGTTTTTGTTCTTATTTGCAGGTGTCTGCTCTACTGCACATAATAAAACATGTTTTGTATCACTGTTTGTGTCCTTCCTTTTTTGCGTTTTGTATCGTCACTACCGTGCCAGAAAAGCGTTTCCGACCATGCATTGCTATGTGATTTTCCATCGTCTAGGTGTACTCCTGAAAAGTTTGTCACCGCTGCACTGATACATTTTGTATATTCATTAGAATGGAATGATTTAAGTTCTTATCTGATATGCATTAAACGGTGAATTCTTACATTATTCTTAGTACTTCACAATCACTTCAGCTAGCAGTCTATATAATTAAACTTTAGGTAAAATAAATTAAAATATCTAAAGTATCAGTTTTGTTATACCAATGAATTTTCCTAGGCAAATGATCTGATACATTTATGAAAAGTTATTTTTAGCTAGCTTAATATATTGCGCTCAATGGCCGAGAGGCTAAACTCGCTAAATACACGGAGTTTAATCTAAGCTCGATACCAGGTTTGGCTGTATGTTCCATTTTCCCTATTTGTAAAGTGAAAACGAGATAGTTTCTTTTATAAATTCCTCCATGAAGGATACCTTCTCTTAGGCAAACGGCCCTCTCCATATTCAAATGAGCCCACCAGCGGCAGAGCGGTAAAGTCGCTGAACACTGGTAGTTCGGTTCGAGGTTCGACTGCCGCGAACGGGCTGGCTGCATGGGTGTTTTTGTGGTTTTCCCCATGTGTAACGTGTATACGAGCCAGGTTCCCTTAGAAAGTCCTCCACGAAGGTATCCCTCCCCTTAGGCAGATAGCCCTCTTGTGCTTTGCCATAATTAAATACACCACCACCAACACCATATTCAAATAACCTAACCTAACCTAACGAATATCAACAGCGATACTGAACAAGAATGTTTTTAACTCTGTAGTAAGGATTCCGGATATTCTTCAGCGTTTGTATAGGTATCAGTATTATCTGCAAAAGTAGTTTGAAAATAAAGATTTAAGTTACATTTTGTGATATACTAGACATCTCATGCAGCTAATGTTGAGGGACAGAAATTTTGATTTTGTTCAAATTGTGCTGCCATGTTATATATGTCTGTGAGTGCTGTGAATTTAAAACTCAACACCTGTAAGTGTAATGGATAGGAGAGACTACCATATTAAAAACACTTTCATACGTCAAAATATTTGCAAGAAGCTGACAAGATGCTTTTTAATGGCAATTTGATCGATCACTGGTGATGATATTATTATAAACATAAATTTATTTATTTATTTATTTATTAGTAGATACATTTTATAATTTTTCAGTGCATCTGGATAATTATCTTTATTTCATGTAGGTGAAGC